TACTACTACTACTACTACTGCGGTCATCACTCCACAAACTGACGCCATTAGGCGAATTAGTCAACTAGTCATTCGGCGTCCTTGGCTCACACCCAAGCTCTGGCAGCCGCGGATGAACTCGAAGAATGATAGCTTTCCATCCTCCGCGGCTTTTACATGTCGTGCCCGGCCGGGTCACTTAGAGAGGCTTGTTGCTGTTGACTTGGACCAGGCTCGTGTGCTTGGGCGTAGGGTGCCAAAGTCTTGAAGTCTGAAGCCCAAATGTGCAACCACCTCAGTTCAATTCTTCAGGGTTGGCATGGGTGGGACTTCATGCTTCAATGCAATGCTCCACGACACACGCACACACACACACACNNCCCCCCCCCCCCCCCCCCCCCCGTACCTGGGTCGAGGGTTCAGTTTTCACTGTATGACCGTCGCTTTACCTAGTCGCACATACTCTGTACAGCAGAGGGCTTATCTTGGAGCACCTGCTCATGATCATTTTTTCGTAGAGTGCCGAATCTGTGCGAACATGTGCTCGAAGCTTCGAGGGCCTGGGCCCCACACATCAAAGCCAGACATGGACGAGAATCCCCATAGGCCCAGAATAGGTTGAACAGCAATATGGGAAACCCTCGCTCCCGTACAGTACCCTCAAAGGGAACCCTTAAGGCGAACCCAGGTAGATACAGCGGGGCGTCAACAGGGGGCCTGGTTGACGTCGATGACTTTCCAGGCGCCTCTTCCGGCTACGTTGGTTGGTTTTTCTGGCCCCTACAAGGCTTTAGGAATGTAGGGCTTAGGGTTTGAGATGGTAGAGAAAAGGGCATTTAAAGCGATAGGGTCAAATGTTTATCATTCAGGGCTGAGTTTAGGGTTAACTCTTTGGATAGGGGGTCTGTATTGCCTCCTACATTGCAAGGACGAACCCGCATAGCAAGGGCTTAAGGTCTAGTGGCTGGGATTGCGGGTTTAATTTGTTCAGGAGCCCGGCTGTGTGCCTGCAATGGTCCCGTACTTCTTGACCAGGAGCTTATGGAAGTCCTGCCGAATCTGTTCCTTGCGCTTGCGAGGGAGAAGAACAAACTGCGAGGGAGAAGAACAAACTGAGGGGTCTCTGAACAAAGGTCCTCTTGGGGAATGCTCATATTGGCGACCCCATTACCCGGTGCTACATGAGACCTCTGTGAGCACAGCGAAACCGCAAAGATTTCAGTGTTCAGAGGGTGAATTGCTCTGCCATATAAACTGTTTATCGTTGTCGAAACCCCACTGCTGCTACAACATCGGCGATACATCCTCATCACAGGTCCCCCCCGAGCTCGTGTGGGGGATACAGGCTGATGTAAACCATTGAGGCTTAGGGCAGGGCTTGGGAAGCTCACGACATACCTTCTACCATATCCGACAAATCGCTGGCTGCTACTACCAAACAAAAGGTATAATCAACATTTTTGTCAGCAGGAATACGTCATAGTTGGTTCAGGATCGTTGTAATAAGAACAGGGGACAACCACTGATCAAACTGGTCAATCCAAGTGAAAGCCGCAATCATAATAATCACAAAGACCCTAGTAGTCGTAATGATGATTACACTAGCCATAACAACAATCGTCATCACGTCGGCGATAACCGACAAAGCCGTACTAACTAATCGTAAGGGTCGTGGCGACCCTAAGTCCAAAACCCCTTCGAGGAATATATTCGAAAAAAGACATCTGCATTGGCCAGCGGCGCATTCGTTTGCAGTGGGTGTTGGGTACTTCCCGTTGCCACCTGCGCCCCAGCCTCCTGCACCTGCATAGAGATGGTAAGCGTCTCTCACGCGCTCGTTCGCTCTCTCTCGCTCTCGCTCTCGCTC